GGAGTCGAACGACTCACGACCGGCTGCGCACAAGTTTTTGTCTCAAGAAAATTGAAAATCTATATTTTTGTGTTTCCTTTCATTCTTCAGTATTTTCTGTGACATATAAACCGCCCAAAACTGACGACTGGGTTCAGTTAACAAGGCAACACTCTGTAACTGCATAAACATTTCGTGCGACTATATTTGTCGACGGGTCGCTGGTGACTCAGTCACAGGAACTCGAGAATTAAGGTGAATATACACTTTTACATTTTTTTGATCAAATTTTCCAAAATCCTTCGAGATACGATTATATATCCCTAAAGACTACAACATATCCAAGTTTCAACGAAATCCGAAACGTTGCTCCAAAAAATGTCCGATTTTGTGTAGAACCACCTTAACACTAGAAATACCAAACCAGTCAAATCGACTGATCGATATCGACAGACGATATGAATGTGAAGAAATTGGTTAGTTTATAAATTTGTAAATTGTCAAATGTTTCCCGTGTTTATCGACCGACAGAAATAGATATTTACATTTATCGTCGGTAGTTCCAAATTTCGTTCGAAGGAACACGACGATTTTCTTGATAGTGGCAATTTAACCGTTATACAGGGTGGACCACGAAACGTGATGAGCTCAGAGTATTCTACTGCCCTCGATAGAACTATTTTTGTAAGATAACTGCTTATAAAATTATTGTACGTCGTAAATAGAACTAAGCAGTCGTTTCTTAACCGTTTACATGAGTGTATTGCAGCTGATGGACACCTTTTTAACATCGTTTTAATTAAGGGGTCATTCCACGCGAAATCGTACACTTTTTGGAGCACCATTTCGAATTTTGTTCAAATTTGGACATGTTATTGTCTTTAGCGATATATAAGCATACCTCAAAGAATTTTTGAAAATTTTTTAAATTGTTGATTTTACAGCTGTTTGAAATTCAGGGTCAACCTTTTTTCAATAAATCATAACTATTTAACTAACAAACTGATCAAAATGAGCTTTCTAGGTACTTACAGTGGAGACATAAGAGTACCAAATACAAATTATTTCAGTTAAAAAAAATATATTTATTAACCATTTACTTTGCAATTGTTTTAAATAAATGCTCTATTTTTATACCGACGAATTATTTAAAAACTTGAAAAAAATGAGGATATAGTCCTAATTCTCTTCTTTATGGACATATTTTCAAAAATATGGACACTTTAAAATTGGCCGTATTAAAATGGGCCCACTCTAAGATGGGCGTAAAAAAATTGAAGGTGACCTCGAAAACTCTGAAAAAACAGGAGTGACAAGAAATTTGGTACAATCATCTTAAAGCTCTCCTTGAACCATGTTACGTTAGCCAAAACATTTTTCCATCGACCGGCTAGCAGTACAATAATTTAAGCTGATCACGTTTCGTGGTCCATCCTGTATGTATTTATATTCCGCTACGTAGATTCGGTTTAAGTACGTGACAGATATTGTTACTGTTGACTCGACGTTTCCTGTCAGGCAATCGGCTTCTGTAGACAGTCAGGGAGCGGGGAATATCGATTTCCTGTTCAACCCTCCTTTAACTGCATTCCGCTCAGTCGCGATACCCGAACATCCGTTATCAATTCCGTTGATTGATATCTTCCCGTGAATGAAGAAATTCCTCGAAGTGTATTAGTCCGTCTGTTACACGAAGGGCCATTGACAGATTGGACCAGTCGGAAGAATATACGATCACTCGAAACTTATATCGACTCGAAAAAAAAAGGTGTATTTAGGAATTTTTGTTAAAGAATGCAAAGAAAGTATAATGCAAAAAATCTTCCTGGCTTTTGTCTCGAATGATCTCGATGCAGAGTAGTCCGAAATTGAAATTTCAAAAAGATTACTGAATGTTACTTTTTTTTACCGTACCTTCCTTGATTGAAAAAAAAAAATAAAATAAAACATTCTTAAGTATCGCCTTATTTTCCAGCCGCTAAAAGGGAATAGGGCCTTAATTTGATTCGAGGACACGAATTTGAATTAAATATGAATTGTAGAATTTTGTAGGATATTTTTTATTGTCTGTGTACCTTGTTGTAATACCCATTTATTTAAGGAATTGGGCTGAATAAATATTTTTCTAACAGGAAACTAATAAGGAGTATCGAAAATGTGGCATTTTAGCTTCAACACTTTCAGAGAATCGTGGGGATAAAAGACCCTAGTCCCAAGTTTGATCTTAGCCTTGATTTTTAAACACATCCTCACTTTAAACCCCTATTTTAATGACTTTTTATTTTCTCGTTAATCTTAACTATTCTACCTGAAAGTACAAAAATTAAACTTCAAAAAATGCTTCTACAACTTTTTTCGAGAAGTCCACAATTTAAGAGATATTTCGAGTTTTAAATCACTTCGGGTCGCTTATGCCCCATCTACACTTCCAAGTACTTTCAGGATATGTGCACTCAAAATGTTAAAGGTACGCCACTTTGCTATTATTATTCTCGTTTTCTTTTTCTATAAATTCACGATCAGATTACAAAGAATTTCAAATCGATTAAAATCCATCTCTAATGAAGAGTTTTGGACCACTTCCGGTGAAGTTCGAGTGCACTCACAATCAATGGAGTGATGTTTCTACGTCATCCCAACGCGTCACTGTATAAAGACGAAAAATTACAAATTGATTTTTCGTTAAATGTTTAACATAGAACCTATCTACTCATAAATCAAATTCGAAAAAAGTTCGATTAACACTTAAAACAGAAAAATGTTCACCAAGGTGACCCAGATTCACAGGAGAGTAAGAGTAGTCAGACCTCTTAAAGGTTAAACGGGTTCAGAACTCATTTTCACGAGATGGATATCGTTCGTTCCTTCTGTGTACGAAAACAATAGATCGATATCGTCGCGACGATCGGAATCGGTATTGTCATCCAGAAGCGACGATTACACGACGGGTGGTGCCTGTAGAAGGAAATGTCTCTCTCGTCGTCTTTATCTTGGTCGCTAAACCGCAGGGCTTATTGACCGGATGAAATTGAATGGAAGATCCTCCCGCTGCTGCGGATGCGAGAGGCGGTTTCCTTGGATATGTATTGGGTTTCAGAAGCGTCCGTTCAGGTGTGCTTGCTGGAAAGCACGTATAACAGCAATTATTCGATACGGGCCGTTCGAGTGAAAAGGCTGGATTACATGTGCACACGCAGGTATAACTTCCCGTCGGCCGATCCCCGATGAATTGGTGGCTCCCGTGTGGAGATAAAAAAAAAAAAGGTCTCTATGAGGTAGGTCCTTTTCACTATCCTCCCTTCTATCTTCGTCGAGGAAAAATATTCCGATCGGAGAAGATTCAGGTACGCCCACAAAATTCGAAACACCTGCGCTGACCCCAAACGAGGCCGGTTTCCATGAAGATATTGTTGGGAGCACTAGCGCCACCACTAAACATATTCGACCTGGTCACTGACACGACACGCTAATCGAGAATGACGAACGTAACCGCGTTTACGCCGCCAACCCGATATTCGTCAGGATTTGTGAGATATGCTTCGGCTATTTCGAGGCCGGTTGATGAAAAATTAACGGAAACCGTTGGATTTCTGGAGTCTCCCCCGTCCGACGTCATATTATCCGCACGCGATCGCGCGTAACGAGATTCTCTCGGAGCACATCTGTGTACAAACCGTTGCCGTCGATTAAGGATAAATTAGATTTCCTGAGAGAGCTTTATTAAGACGACCGAGACGCGTTACGATCGACACTTGTCACCGTGACAATTTACGACGACGTGAAACTCTTTGTAAAAATATTCTCCGAATAGATATCCACCGTATATTGTTGAAGTCGATTTGACAGTGACGGTATCTCTATTTATATTCTGTCAGTTACGAGATTGGATACTGATAGCCATGAATGAAACAGTAATTGAAATAGACAGTATAAAAATATTTAATTACATGAATTTATAACACTCGAGTGGGCGTAAAAGTTGAACTACATATTCGAAGTATTACTTAAAGTTTAATAAAATACATATTTCTGTACCATTTATATAAGTATGTATTTGAAATATCGTTTAGTTAAGCAGTCACTGTTAAAATTCAGAATGTTCTCTACGAGATGAAGGAACAAGAATATTTACTCATTATCTGTCTATTGTATATATTTATTTCAAATGCCTATTTTACTTATGAACCCTACGCTTTATGTAAGAAAAATATCTAAATATGGAAGTTTCGGGAGATTCAGATTTGTCTGAACAGGAACATATGCATGACGTATTTTGTTCCCGTAGCTCCAAAGTTTGTATGGGAAATCTAAATGACCATTTCGGTCGTTGAAACAGATGCGTATTTGGCCTATTATCCCCTCTCTCCATCTCTAACCCTCCTAGTCGCCATATTTCGACGGCAGCTCGGCACGTAGGCACCTTTCGTGGTTTCAATGTGGAAATCAAGGCCACCTGTGGTCGAGCTCAGGCACTAACGGTTAAGTCGTTCGAAAACAAAACCAGCTAGTGATCTGTTTTACCGAGATTCGATGCTCTACTTTACCGGTAGGAAAGGATAAAATTACCTACAGAATTTTGCGCGAAATTAAAAAAATAGAGGATATAGGATAAGAACGATGAACCCTATGTGTACACCGTCCAAGGGGCCGACGCCCCCTTTTCAAGGCGAGCAACTCTCATGAGAGATTACAACATTTTTCCGTGGAGACATTTTTTTTACCCTGCCTACTTTACATCTCTTTTTCAAGGCACAGATACTTTAAATCAATTTGACGAATAAGATACATCCGCGGTGTAGTTATAAAAATACTTATTACCTATTATATAATTAGAAAATTAAATACTGATTTAATTGTGAATTACACAATATTTAGATATTTAAAGTAACTATATTTCATCATATATCATTCTCCAAAATTTAATTAATAATTTAACTGATATTTGAATCAAGTGTTACATGCAGAGCAAAACATTTGTACATGCAGTGTAGTAGAAAATAAATTGTGTTGTAATTACTCACCATTGAAAGGCGTTGAAATGATAATAGACAAGCCCTTGACCATACAAAAATGAGGCATCTTTCCAATAGTCCCCTTTCAGAGAATAAAATTTTTGATACGCTGACATGGCTGTTAAAATAAATCAAGAAAACATGAGAATCAACATCACAGAAACAGGATAATAAGAAATTTGTATACAAATTATTAATTACCTTTACTATAATCTTCTAAAAGTAAATGAAAATGTCCTAATTTGCAATATGTTTTAGGATCAATACTGATTCCTTTGTCCTCTTCATCCTCTTTTAATTCATCAGCATTCATTTTGGTACTATCAGCTTTTCTGCGTTGTTTTTCAGCCTGCGCTTGAACCAACATCCTTTCCAGATACTTGATTGCACGAACGACTAAAGCTTTCTTCTTTGATTGTTCTTGTGAATTCAGTTTCAAGAATCCAAACTGCCGGCTGGGCTCACATTGAACATAAAAAATCATATTAATCAGTGCACTTTTTCCAATACATACGTACAAATATTACTCATAAACAGAAAGTATTAATTCACTTCAAGTAGAAATGAATTTCTAATGCTGATAATGCAAGTGAAATTCTTAATAACAGAAGTGAGTTCCTATTTAATTCCAGCTTTTACAAATTAATCTATGAAAATGTAATGCTGCACAAACACCTAAAGCCTAATTATAACATATTTTAAGTGACACATTTTGAACTATGTGCCTAGACGCTAATAAACAACGAATTGTTTCATTTGACATTTGCAAATGATTTCATTTTTGTAGTCGCTGAAGATATTTTCACGTGACGAATGTGTATTGTCAAAGGAAAACGACACGATTTTTCAACAATGAGAACCACAAAAACGTAACAGTATAACAACTGAATGCTGTACGACCAGACGCGTGGAAAGGATGTCAGTAGGTTGCACGCACGTCTAAATAAACCGATCGAATTGCGCGCCTATTCTGTCAAATGGCTTTTTAGGTTATATCTGATAAAGTACGCGAAGGAGATACGATGAACACACATAATATTATAAAACCGGCACGGGTGTTGTTATGACAAGCATTGTTTACTTCAAGATCACCTGTCTAATTCAGATAGTATCTGTAATTCTTGAGGAGTCAAGTTGATATCATCAGTCTCCTGGGCCATTTTCACGCACGGTAAACAGATTCATTAGAAACAAAAAGGACACATGTTTGCACGCAGAACAAGCCGCTTCACACGAAAATCCGAGTGATTTTTTTAACTCGCGGCTTCGATACCTCGTCACCTCATTGGGACTATAAGTTTTTAAAAGCGGCGATCAGGTTAAACCAGGATGGCGAATCACGCGATGGAAGACCATTACCACGGCTCACATCGACTTGGAATTCCGGTACTACAGACAGTTGCTCCCTGCCACGTCCCAGAATAGCGCGAAAAGTTGATGGGAGTACCGTATTTGAATGTTTAAACCACTTTGACAGGCAGGGTTACAATATCGGAGACTCTACAGACAACTTTAAAACCCCAGTACCCGTATCACTTAACATTTAATTCAATTCTCAATAGTTCAGCGATTTCTATGACGTACCATGTACTAGTTTTTCTGCTACGTATGTTATCCACAAAATGAATTTCGTCAGTTCTTTGGAAAATTTTGGGACCACTGCGCAATACAATAAGCCCACTTAACGCAACTGATCTAAACTACAATTGGATCGACAAATTTAACCGAAGACTGTTCATCCAGTTTCTATATTTTCTTTGCCAAAATCAATACAATCACAAACTTACGCAATAATCTCAAATTTTTTCGTTTTGCGCTTTTAAACAATAATTATAGATATAGATATTTATTACCCGACGGATCTGTAGTGGTTTCGTTGTAGTAACGTCCTTACGTTCTTTAAACTGAAACGGTCGTTGGGATATACCGGAGATTTCGATCTGTCAATCGGTTTGCGAGCACAAAGCCGCTAGTTTTATTAAATACTTCGGTGATTAAAGGATTAGGTGAGCTTAATATGCGTAAATACTAACTACTATGAGATATTATATAATTTAGAATAATACCACGCCACGCCTGAGCATTTAACATGCCTAAGCTACACAAGAATACTCTCAAGTCAGGAGCAACAAAATTGTACAAACGGTAGCCCTTTTTTGTTTTTGACTTCATTTTCGAAAATACATTATTCTTACGTGACGATATATTGCGCGTATTTTATTGAACGTAAACGATCAAGCCTGTAACATTGAAGTTTCATGTAAGAGAACACGGATTATTGCAAATTCTTGGCAATGTAATCATCGATATATTTTCGTTCTGACGAATAGTCGAAGAATGACTAACTGACACTTTGTTATTTAAAGACGTGAAAATAGCCTGTATACTTCGCATTTGTACGACTACTTGTGATAATGAGTAGCATGCAACAGTAATCTAATTTTCAAATTAGGACGATTACATAGGCTAATAAATTAATGATTTCACATTCAAATTAAAAGTCACTGAATTGCCAGAAGAAATCAGTAACAGTAATTTGTTTTCAGTGTTAAAATGAGTCTACCTACATCTAAAAAAAATAAAGAGGAGGCTAATATAGATATTTCAAAGGAAGCAAAGAGTATAATCGACAAGATTTTGGGAGATGTGAGCAAAAAGTCTGCCACCAAACAGATTGTTATTGGCACAACATCAGGATGGTAGGCATTTAATATTAAAACTACTGAAGAATCTTCTCTGTTTCTTCAGTTAAGAAAGATAATTTTATACCATAAATTTTATACAGTATTAATGCATATTTATATATTTAGTAAAACTTATTAAGTTTTATATCAATGTTGTATGTAGGGTAACTGGCTTTATGACAATGAAAGTTGGAAAAATGGCAGCATTAGCTGTTGGCGGTGGTATTATAATGTTGCAAATAGCAGCCCATCAAGGATACATAAAAATTAATTGGGATAAAATTCAAAAGAAGGCAGAGAAAATCACAGATAAAGTAGAAGAACAAGTTACTGGTGAAGGGCCTAAATTTATGGATAAGGTAAATTTATAATTGTTATTCTGTTTATAGTTGGTGTTATCAATGATAATAGTAATATTTTAAAATTGCAATATTTATATCACTTACAGGTAGGAAGATGGTGTCGAAACAATACGATTGTGGCATCCAGCTTTTTTGGTGGTTTCATTATTGGTTTAGCTTCCTGAATGAGAATATGCTTGATTTTTTATTAAAATGCGAATGAATAATGTATATTTATTATTATTTATATCAGCAGTATATGCTATCTATAACTTTTGCTCCTGTTGACATGTAAAAACTAAAAACATAGTATTTACCAGTTCAATTGTTACAAGTATTTAAGGAAGCAATACTGTTGCAGTTTTTTAATATATAAGTTAATATGTGATATAAACAATTATGGTACTATATCTCATGTATATGTGATTAAAATTTAAAGCTTTTAAACAAATATGCAGATGCATTCAAAAGATTTTATATATTTTACATTAACAACATTTAGTCATTAATCACGTACATATTCATATATACAAATTTATGCACTGATTTACATAAAAAAAAAGAAATGATTGTGGTATTGGAAAGTTTAAGTTACATCTTATAATAAACAGAGTGATTAAACTTTGTTCTCACCTTCTTTCTGTATCTTATGACATTCATTTTACAATCCTATGTGTAAATTTGTATCTAATGCTTATAAAAATATTTCTATATTAAACTTTAAACTCTAGAAACAAATAATCTATTTTAGTAATAGAATTTACTGTTTCAGGTCGAGAGATTTGTTGATAAAAAGTTAGATAAAGCTGAACATTTGTTGAAAAATGGAGAAACTTACACACGACGTTGGTACCATTCTGTTACTGGTGATACCACATTCAAACCTAAAGAATTCCATTTCTTCATCGCATCCTTCGTAGCTGGTCTAGCAATTGGTATTGCTACTGCAAATTAGGTTTAGAAAGGCTGCACTCTGAATGCATATACAAAAGCAGTGTGGTCATCCCAAATACAATAATTTAATACAGCAAAACTTGATTGTAACGAGAATAATAAACTCGTTGAATGAAAACTCAGTGAATTAAAATACAAACATTTAAATATACTAGATAGTATATACAAGACAAGTGAAAGTTACAATATACCTACTTCTTTTGTGTCTCAAATTGTGATAACTTATTTTCTTATCAATTAGCACAAATTTTGTTCACGGTGTTAAATATAAAAACAAGTAAAAAATATTCAAAATAATTAACAATGAAAATATTTATGCGTTTTCAATTATAAATAAGATTTTCACTATTTATAAATTCACGTCAATTATATAAAAACAGTTTCATTCAAGTGAGTGTTCATTGCTTTAAAAACCTCTTACAGTTGATGAATACGAATTCATGTACATTCAGAATGCAGCAAATATAAGAATACAGTCATTTTTAGCGATCATGTACCTACTTATATTACATTATGCCTGTAGAAGTTATTAAGAAAGAGGACACAAACGACGATATCATTTTTTTTGTATCTTCCTCCAGTATTTAATCTAGTTTGTAAAATGTATTAATTTATAAAAAGCTTTTTGTTATTTAGTTTACTAGATAAATGGTATGTTTCAACTAATTTTATATTAACAATATGAAATACGTATGTACATTAAACATGTAACAAAAAAAATCGTGTCATAAAATGACACTATAAAATGTCTTCTCTGTAAGTAATGTGTTTTCACTCTCACAGTGACATATACTTAAATTATATGTTTCCAGTTGAGGTAGACACATCCTTGTAGGATACTCTCTTATTTAGTTTACAAAGAAGTCTTGATGAAGTTATTCGTGTTTGCTACAGCATCAAACAATGTAGTAAATGAAATGGATTATTTAATACTGTCACACACATAAAGTGTGTATTTGTAGATATTATACATATATAATACAATGCTGTGTATGTACAGGGACATAGTTATAAATGATTCCAAAAGTAAATATTGCTTGTAATGAAGGAAAAGTAGGGTAAACGTTCTTGTGTGTATTACAGGAATGAAAATTCCAATTGTGTAGAAAAATAAATTATAATAAAATTGTCACTATATAAACTAGTCAGAATTTGATGTTCTGTTGTTCCATTAAAATCTTTTTAAGCACTGCATTATAATAGTCCTCAATCGCCTTCTAATCTTTTGATCGCCATTGCAAAAAATATGCGTCGAATTGTCTCCTATTTGAATTAAAGTATCTTCGTCTTGCTGCAAGTACAAACGATGAATAAACATACTACGAATGAAATTTTTTGTTTGTATTTAATATACACGTTTCTTACCAAGTGAATACTGGTAGCAGTTGGACTGTGCTGTAATTTGGCTCCTTGGATACCTTCCTGATTAAGCTTTTGAAGTAATTCTTGTGGGTCTACGTTACCGTACTCGTGCTTTCTTTCCTTAAGAACTTCTTCCTTGATCGGCGCAGGTGAGCCGGAAGAGACTTTGCGCTTTCCACTTGGCCTATCTTCGATACTCTATACGTACAGTCTTCGATTAATTTCTTAATTCAAAAGATACTGTTAACATTTGTATTTTCATGACAGATACCTTTATTGTATATACGTTATCTTTCACTTCCAATTCACCAGTAACAGAAGCAAGACTCAAACCAGGACGAATTTCATTTGGAACTATATTTCCAGCCAATTCGGGTTCAATAAATACTCGACCTTTTTTTCTCTTCAAAGGCAATTTAATGACTTCACCCCGTTTAAAAGTGATTAACGGTTTTTCCTTAAACGTATATTCGAATTAGGAATTGATAACGCGAGATTAACTGTAACGCGATTTATATTTTTTAAACCAATCTACATATACATTTCCGAACGCGACTACATCAATTGGTGTAACCGCTTGTAATGTCTTTTTATAACCTCGGTACATCGTGGAGACTTTTATAAACACTTTAATAATGTTTTGATTTACGCAATACAATGTACTACTATATACGTAAATATGTATTTGTAAAACAATGATCCTAATATAATGACCTTGTACCATAGGTCGTTGAAATTGTCTAAACATCCGCTACTCTGTTAAGGATAAAAAAAGTACAACTTGCCATTTAAAAAAATTAACGAGACCTTCAAATATTCGAGAACCCTCCACCCACGAAAGAATGATTACTTGCACGTTATGGCTCCATCGGTACCGTATAATTTTAGTAACTAAAGTTTTTCTATATCTCTAAAAATAACAGAGATCTCCCAAGTGATCGAAGTTAATGCCCTACCCTACATATACTGTGAAGCAAAAGAACTTACCCCTACTGGTTCTATTACTAAGTCTGTCCTATGTGGTGCTGTTATTGGTGGTTGTGTATAGCATTCGGGTATTACTAAATGTTCAGGCTTTAAATCTCTAATTAATTTATTGGCTTGAGTGAAGTTAAGTGACGTGTCAATCGGACAATGCACCGCCTTCATAGCCAAGGGCTGAAATGGTGCTAGTGCATCCAAATATGGAAAATCTGGTTCTAAAATAACCATTATGCATCAGTCACAGAATACTAGACAACATGTACATCGTATAATTATAGAAAATATACCTGTAAAGATTATAGTATGATGTGGACTATTACCCCACATTTGAACGAAATGGACTGCGTCGCCGAATCTAAGGCTAGGGTGGCCGCAAAAAACAACACAAGGTTGTCTGTAGTCAGAACTGAAACCTTCTGCGTATGTGGATGTAAAATGTTTCAATCTAGCATTCTTAACAAGAAAAGCGTGAGGAAACGGCTCCTCGGGAAGATAAACCTTATTTTGTTTATTTGTTGATAACCTAAAATTAAATTACATGAAATAATTTAGTTATTCATAGCACTTAATACTATGATACATACCATTCAGCTAATATGTTTGAGTATGCTAAGGACGATTCGGCTACCGATGATATGAAAAACAGAGGAACTTGTGAGAAACCTGATTTATCCAAATGGGTACTGAGACATTCAAATAAATCATATACAACGCCGGATGGATAACAAGGAATTAAAACACATCCACCAGCTCTAAGTGTCATTGCTAAAAATATTGAATTTTAGTATGAGTATTAAATTGCCTGGTAAACTTTGTGCGGTTCTTTGACTTCTAATACATACCAACAGTCATACAAAGTTCTCCAAGCATTGTATCTGGATTAGCAGTAGGTGTCTGAGTTAGGCCTGTCAATATTAACATGTTGGCATGTTTCAGAGTAGCTTGTTCCATGGGACGTGGATGAGTTGTCAATGTTGATGATCCACTCACAAATGCAACTTTCTCGTGATCACACGAAATCAGCCAATTACTACTGCCCAAACAATATCCAGAGCTTATAGGAGTAACTGTTAATGCACCATATATATCCTGTAAAGCACCAATAAACATCTACTCCAAAATAATGGTTTTAATATAGTTACCTACCAATTTCTGATCGTATCCAACTGTTTGAATATACGATAAAGCATTATTAACTGCTGACATTGAGTATATGTGTTTCCAAGATTTTGGTTTAAGCGCATCAGCTAACGGAGGAGGTAAAACATGCAACATCTCCTTCCAATGTTTAGCTAATGTTGCTCTAGGTGTTTGTTCAATAAATTCTACTAATTCTTCCATGAAAAACCGCCCGATTTGTAGTGTCGGTTCTGTGGCATAAACAATACCTTTAAAACCTGTGTCTCCTGTTATAAATGGTAGAGCCAACATGCATGTATAATTTGATATTAAAATAGCATCAATTTCTGAGAAATCCACTATTTTTTCCAGTGGTGGAGAAAACTCAGGAGTTGAATCTACAAATACTCTACCACAGCATTCTTTTAACTCCTGTAAATGTAATGTTTGTAATAAATTAAATAAGGTGCATGAAAAAGTTTTATGAATATTTTCAGTAAGACATATAAATGAGCAAACCCCTTCTATCTGCCAATCTTGATGATTATCACGAGGTAGCCACGAAGACAGGGAGTTGAATTTAGCACTAGGAACCAAAGGCATTGGCATAAAATGTAATATAGACTGCATATTTAAGCCACAGTCTAACATTAATGTAATTCCCTTGAAACTTAATACCAAACATGGCTTTGTTGGTTCACTTGACAAACAGTACTACAAACAACAAAGATTGTCTTAAATTACAATTATAACAAAGAATACTGATAACAAAAATTATTGACTGAAAACATTTGCATAACTTGAGGTTACAATATAATATTAAAAGTATCCTGTATTGTTATTCATAAGCATATTAAATTATTATGATCATTATAATTACCAATTTCATTTTAAGAATTTTATCTATTTCAAGTTTTTATTAATCACAACTATGACATAAAAATATTTTAATTCAAAATCTAACATCGAAAGTGTAACCTTTCACGAGAGGGTTGCAGTCTTTCAGACGTTTTGTTCTATAATACTTTATGGGAAGTCAAACAGTTGTAAATTTATTAAAGTTATATACATATATTTATATAAAACTTATTTCTTCACGTTTATCGCATGTAAGTTAGAAAGATGTGCGAAGTTATTGTATTGTTTGATGGATATTCAATCAATCTGGAAGATGGAACAATGAAGACAAATTGTTCCTGTACATTAATAAAAACATCAAAAAATATAATTGTTGACACCATGACAGCTTGGGACAGGGAAAAAATAATACGAGGTAATGACAATAATGTTCTATATAACCTACATATATGTATATTCATAAAATATTAATTGAACAATTTTATTTTAGCACTTAATCAACATAATCTTACACCTGAAGAAATTGATTATGTAGTTTGTACCCATAGTCATGCAGACCACATAGGCAATAATAATCTCTTTCTGAATGCAGAACATATAGTTGGAACTTCTGTCCATCGGGGTGAAATGTTTTATGACAAAAATTTAAAAAATGGTGAATTTATGTATACTGATATAAATCTCAGTATCATATAATCTTTAATATCATTCATTGAGGTTTTCAGTTCATTTGGAACTTCCTAATATCCTAAATAAAGTAAACAAAATTTTGGTTTGTTCCAGTTTCTGTAAATTAGTTCATAAAAGTATATATTTGCATAAACACTCACAGTCTATTTAATAACTTGTCTTGTCCAATAAACACATTAAAATGATAATTATTCTAAATACAGAGATATATGAAATTTGCCCAGAAGTTAAAGTTATGGCTACTCCTGGACATACAGCTGAAGACGTTACAGTAGTAGTTGAGAGTACAGTGCCTGGAAAATCTACATGCTTTGCTATTACAGGTTTTTTCCACTAGTCTGTGAACATTTAAATCTTGTCATAATCCAATTTATACATTACGATAAATTTTGCAGGAGATTTGTTTGAAAAGGAAGAAGACATCTTAAATCCATCAATTTGGAAAGAATTAGGAGATCAGGAATTACAAGCAAATCAATCTCAATGGAGATCGTTTATAGTAGAGGTTGCAGACTTCATAATACCTGGCCATGGACCAATGTTTCGTGTTACTGAAGACATGAAAGTAATTGTTAAAGATCAAGAAATTAAAGTCTATTGAAATGTATAACATATCTATATAAATGAAGTTCATATTTTCAAAAGAATTATCGAAGATGTTCATGTGCAATAAGAATCTTTACAGATTCAATGAAAGTAAAAAACGGCACGTAAAAATTGTGCCTGAAAATTTATTTCAATGGCTGCAAATTGTTAATTGAATTTTTTTAAGTATTAATATTAAAAATTGATATTTATTAATTCATCATGTGTTACGCGCGTATATTTTTCAATGCATGTGTTTGGCACGAGAGGTACCGTTTAGTTGCACTCTCCAACTAGTAGATGGCAACAGCGTTTCTGCGCTTGTGGCGTTGAGGGACGCTAGGGATATTACGTCCTGGCCACTGTAACGCGGAGGTTAAATAATACTGCCACGTTTATGGAACAAAGACTTTATTGTCTACGAGTCGTGTACGTGCTGTAGCGACAGCTGTCACGATGGATGATCCATCATGGATCTGCCTGCCGCCTGCCGCACGCAGGCGGCAACGCAATGCACGCGCCTCTTTCTCCTTGCGGGAGAAGGCGACACTACGAAGGGAGCAATAGTGAAATTTTAGGTCACGAAGTGAGTACATAGGAGTACAATAAATAATTTAAGACTAAAAACATTATTTGTGAGTTGCTATTTCCTGAGATTTTTCCGTTTTTTTTTATT